TCTGCAAGAGGGAGCTGACTTGTCCATAGAACTCCCATAAAGATCCCCTTCAGTGGTTCCCAGCTAGGACTGCACATCAGAACCTCTGGGAGCTTTTAAAAAAACCTAGCGGACTGCGGGTGCTCCCCCACAGAGATTCTGATTTAATTAATCTGGGCTGGCAACAGTATTTTAGAAGCTGCCCAAGTAATTAAGTGCAACAAGAGTTGAGAACCACTGGGCTAGATAAATAAAGAGATATGAGGGTAAGGGAGAGAAAATAGATGAACTTTCCCCACTCCTTTCTCCCTCCGCTCAGATTTGGGCAGTGCTTTTGCAAGTGTCACATGTCCACAGGTGATTCTTGAGCTGGAATTTGATTTGATGGCACATGGATTAGCCTTCTTTGCATATATCTTTACATATATACATACATGTGTAAATACCTAACTACATATTTGAATACTAGAAAAAAACATAACCAGCACATCAAATTTGAGAATTCACATATATTACTGCTTAGGATGAAGCTAAGGTAGGTACTGAAGTTTAGAGTGTGAATCTATTTAAGTGAACATTCTGTAAATTCTAGTACAGTGCAAGCGGCATGTGGATAGGGAAAAAAAGTCCTAAAAAAGGTATGCGGACAACTGGAGTTTGGAGAACATGGAATTAAAGTAGCCCAGAACCTGCACAACCTTTCTCCCCAGATCTTCACTGTTCTCAACGGGTCTCCCTCCGCACAGCGGTGCACCGCGCCATCCACTGCCCACACTTCTCACATGGATGCCTGCGCCTCCCCCAAAGCATTTCCATGCTTCTGAACTGGGCTCAGACGCAAACCAGCCTCCCCTAGCCTAGCAGTCACGATCCGATGACTGATGTCACAGAACTCACACATCTCCTTTTCCTGATTCAAATCTGAGCTAAACTTAACTTACCCACCTTCACATAATAGGGCAGAAAACCAATGCTCACAAGGTGTCCCAGCCCCAGGAGCACAAAAGGGAAACCGAAGCGACCCAAATCCAGGTTATGCAAACTCAAAAGGAGGGGGAGAGATAGGAAAAGCCCAAACCGAGCAAACAAAACCAGCCCGCAAGAGAGGCGCTGACATTTCACTCTATTTGTAGTTCTCTGGGCATGATGCAACTCTGGGTTGCCCAATTCATGTTCGCAAGATTTCCCCTGGTCCACGACAAGCTTCAAAAAGCTCCCAACTCCATAACATTCCTTTAAACATGTTCCGTTTCCAGCCCAGCAAGGCTGCATTACGAGCCAGGTGACCTCCCCTTCACTTGGGCCCAGCAAGGTGTGCCGCGGAGGCTTGGGTTTGTACAGGTGAACCAGGAGGAAGAACGAAGGCGCAAAGGCAGGCAGAGAGGAGCCTGACAGCTCTGTGTGTGCGTTTCCCTCACAGCCTCACGCCCACTTGATTGGAAACTGCCGAGGGTACCTTCCGCGCTTCACTTTCCCCCTGCCCTGCCTCCTGAGCCCCGCTCCTCTCGCCAATGCCAAGGGCACTCCGAATGGCAAGCAGGGGATGTGCCCCAGTTTGCAACCTCCTCCTCTTTCTCCTGTTACCTTCAGCCCCGCTTTCCACGGCGTGGCAGCCTCCTGGTCACCAGTCATCGCTACACCTTTGCACCACCCAACAAAATGGCAGGTTAGCAACAGGCAAGGCCGAGAGCGCCTGCTCTGGCTCTCGCCAAGCGCGGCCGCTGGCCAAGCCGCCCGGGGTCTCTGACCGCCAACCCCTCAAACGCAAACACCCTTCTCCTCTCCAAGTCCCCGAACCTCGGTCCCACCGGGCCACCGGCTCGCCCTCTCGGGGCCATTTCTAATCGCCAGCCGGCGCGCAGGTGCCCGCGTTAACAGGTGCCAGGCAGCGGGCCCGGGCCACAGCGCCGCCGCCCCGCTTCAGGCGGCGTCGGAGCCGTCAGGGAGTCGGAAGGGCGCGCAGGAAAGGTCAGGGGCGCGCGCAGAGGAGGAGCGCGGGGGCCAGGGATGCCGCGGCCGGTCCCCGCTCCCCAGGCGCCACCGGCGCAGAGGCTGCCCCACTTACAATCTCCAGGCAGACGAAGGCGCCCGAGTAGGTCCGCAGGATGTCGGGGCCAGCGGGCAGGGTGATCCGCGGCGCCGGGAAGGACACGGCGGGGTTCGGGGGCGGCACGCCAGGCGCTCCGCCGGCCGACATGCTGCCGCTGCCGCTGCCGCTGCTGCGTCTCCGCGCGCCGCCGCTGCCGCCCTCCGCCCGCCTCCACTTCCCGGGCTCCCGCCGCCGCCGCCGCTCCGGTCGGCGTGGTCCGCGCGCCGCACGGGAGGGGGCGTGGCTGCGCTCCCCTGGGCCTCGCGGGCCCCGCCCCGTGACGTGAGTCCAGGTGAGCGCGCCACCACCTGGCGCCCGCGCGGGTCACGTGCGCAGGTGCAGCCTCCACCTGGCGGGGCTTATCTGCTGCGCTCTCCCTTCTCCTCCGCGCCCCAGTGCCCGGCGCTCCCGGAGCCTCTCAACACCCCGCCCCGACGCAGAGCTCCTTAATTCCTTCTTCCCGTCCCTCTTCCTAGTTTCCACCTGTTCTCTTCCACTGGTCCTCCCCCAACACTCACAGCTCCTCTAAAATCAAGGTCACCAGTCACGCCTAAAACTCGGAGCGGACCTGCTTTAAATGGGACTCTTTTTAGGTGGGAAGTTTCAAACAGCAGCACAGTGTTGCGTTGAAGTCAGATGGCTCAGCTCCCTCACCTGTAGGCCGCGGATGTACCGCAGGTAACTGCTGCTTGGCGCGCCAGTAGTGCGATGTGCTCACCTGTGAAATGGGGATAAGGGTGTCTACCTAGTATGGATGCCCGAATTACATGATATTAGTAGCACCTAGTAACACTTCTTAAACGATAGTTGATATGATGGTTTTTGAATTGCTAGTTTTTGAATTTTTACACACATACCACGTTTTTGTGTACCTACTAGTATGATATTGTAGAGGTTATATTTTGCAGACAAAACTTTAATCGTTAATTTTACTTAAAAGGGATTTTCAAAAGTCCGTGCAACCGAATTGGTGATTGCCAGAGGGAAGGGAGATTGGGGGACTGGGTGGAAAATGTGAAGGGATTAAGAAGTACAAATTGGTAGTTACAAAGTAGTCACGGGTATGTAAAGTACAGCATAGGGAATATAGCCAACAATATTGGGATAACTGTGTGGTGCTAGGCGGGTATTGAAAATATTGGTGGAACACTTTGATTCTAACCACTATACTGAACACCTGAAACCAATACAAAATAATACTGAAAGTAAACTGTAATTGAAAAATTTTAAAAATAAATTTTTAAAAAGTCTATGTGTACTTTGAATTCCCTGTCCCAATGTATTCCAATTTTTATCCTTTTTTTTTAACATCAACATTTTGTAAGTGAAATAAAGGAGATGAGATTAATATTCTCCAAGATCAGCTGAAAATAAAACAACACACACCAGCACACACACACGTAGACAAGGTTGGAAAAATATTAGTTAACATCGTCAGACATTCTCCAAATGGAATACTGATCTTGTCTGTCAGGTTTAGCCTTTGAGGGACTGTGTTTACCACTATGCGCTATTCAGCAGATTTTAGTCATTCTACCTTTTTATTATCTTAATGATCGAAACTCATAGGTGTGGTGGCAGCATCAGGGTAAAAAGCCACAAGACAGGGTGTGGGTGAAACCTTTTGAAAATACACCTCCTATCTATCTTCTCCACCTCTTAGTCATCCCTTTCTGGTTTTTAATGTGTGGTATTTACTTAATAGGACATTTACAGTTTTCTGAACTGATTTGTTTCATCAGTAAACCCTCTCTGTGTTCAGACCCCACCTGGTAGGGAATAATCTCCCTGTCTGTTTTATTTTCTGCCTAACATTGCTCAATAAGCACCTACAGAATCTTCAAAGGGAAGAATTCTACAAAGAATTCATTATGGAGATGGTCAGTAGCTATAATGCCCCCCCCCCCCAATTTTAGTGAATAACTTAAAGTGACTTTGGAGTTCCTATAAGTACTAATGACCCAGAAGAGCCTCAATTATGCCTTAAAATTGCCACTAAGGGGACAGATTTTCACTGTATCCCTTCCAGCATGCTCCTTGCTATACTGTGTGTCCCTGACCATCCCGAACCATCCTGCTTTTCCTCTTTTGCATGCTTCCACAATGACCAGTGGAATGAAAACAACTGTCATCAAGCCTCTTCTATTATTGTAACATATTATTTGCTTGTAAACTAATTCCTTCCTGGTATAGTTTTCCTGTTAAGATCACTACCCAAACCTGTTTTCTCTTAATAATACCAGTTTCATTCTAATAAAGGCCCTGGCGCGATAGCTCAGTTGTTTAGAGAGCCACCCTAATACGCCAAGGTTGCAGGGTTTGATCCCCAGTCAGGACATGTGCATACAAAAAAGAACTAATGAATGCATAAATAAGTGGAATAACAAATTGATGTTTCCCTTTCTCTTTCTCTCTCTCAAAATAAAAAAAGGAAGAAAAACATTCATCGACACTCCATTCCCCATTCTGTCTCTTCCTCCCACAATTGAGCATGCGCTCTTAACAGTTTCACCTTTTTGCTCTTCCTTTATTCATCTTGTTTCCATGCCTTACTGACCTCCAGGATGACTCTTACCTTGCTCACAGACTTCCTTTGGAGCCCATTGTTTGGAATGTCAACGTCCATATTCATGACAATTTCAACAATCTTGCTGCACAACATCTGGATCCACCTTATGACTTGGGATTTCGCTACTGCCATTCTCTTGAATGCTGACATTCTCTCTGATGACTACATCCTATTCATCTAACCCCTTCATTCTCAGTGCCTTGGCCTCCAGTCTTTTTGTCTGTCCTTATTCTCACATTGGCCCCCTTCTGGCTTTTCTGACTTCCCTATTCACCCTGTGCTCATGGGAAGGCATTTTATAGTAGAGATGCTTATATTAGTCCCAGGGGTTGCCTCCCATATTGTACTTTACTATAAACTTACCCACACTGTTCCATATATTCCTCAGCTTGGGTTCAATCCACCATTGATGTGTGTCCTCTTTAATTCTGCTCCCATATTGCCCAGGGTTCCTATAAGAATGTCATAATTAGGACACTTGTTTCCACATTCATTCATATTATCCAATCCAGAATAGGCCTTACGGATTCCCATTTGTCACTTTCTTCCACCACCCCTTCCTCTATTTCTCTCCCCTATTATTTCATAGCTTCTTCACTTTTCCTGTCTTTATGCCTGGCACAAGTAGACAATATGCCCAATGAATGAAAGTAAATCCAAACCATTCCAAATTTCCCTGCTTTCTTTTACTTTACAAGAAGTTTGAGGACATCTAACCCGTCATACTTGTTTCACTGAAAACAGGACCATCAATCCAGTTATTCAAAACAAACATGTGGGTGTTGCCCTTGGTAACTCTTCTCATGCCACATATTTCATCAGCTATATTGTCTGGCAATTCTACCATCTTATTGTCTAGGATATATTCACTTCTCCCCACTGTTCTCACTCTATCCCTTCTCACAACGAATACTCCAAGTCTTGTTTCCCACCCTTGTATTCTCTAGGCTGCCAGTCAGAATGATTTCAAAACACAAAATTGATCACAGTCACTCTTCTACTTAAAGTTCCTCTGAAATCCCCCACTGTTTTCAGCATCAAATCCAAACACCTCAGAATGCATTGAAGGGATTTCTGGGGTGTGGCTTCCGATGAGCTCCCTGACCTTGCAAGTCCTATTGACCCATCTACAATTCCAATAACTCTCCTGCCTCCAGACCTTTACACATTCTCCTCCCTCTAATGGAACATTCTTTCTTCTTATTACTCTGGATCCCACATCTGTTTCCTGGCTAATTCCTTTGGGTCATAAGGGCATTTCTGTATGGCAGCTTTTCTCTGATCATTGAAGATTATTCAGGGTCCCCTCCCACCCAACGTGTTTCCATAACCTGATGTCCATACTCCACACAGAACATCTATTTTACTAAATTGAAATTGTGGTTGCACTTGTCTCATATCCCTTATGCAACAGGGAAAAAATTCAGTGGAGGCATCAAGAGATGATAAATAGCAGATACCAATGTGAGCTGTGAATAAAAAGTTTTAAAATGGGCTGATTCAGAACTCATCAGATAATCTATAAACCCTTCACTTCTATCAAGATATGAAAGGCAATGTGGCTGGTTTTCTCAGTGGTTAGAGCCTTGGCCTGCGGATTGAAGGGTCTTGGGTTGGATACCCAGTCAAGGGCATGTACCTAGGTTACAGATTCGATCCCCGGCTCCAGTCAGGGCATGTGCGGGAGTCAGTCAGTCAATATGTCTCTCTCACATCAATATTTTTCTCTCTCTCTCCTTCTTTCTACCCTTCTCCCCCTTCCCTTTCACTCTCTCTAAAAATCAATGGAAAAAATATCCTCGATGAGGCTTAAAAAAAAAAAAGAATATGAAAAGCTCAGGAATGAGGATTTAGAAAGAAGGTGATTTTGGGGAGAGCTGTGCTGGGAATCACTCTTTACTCTCCCCTCCTCCATTCCCTCCCCCACAATTTAGGAAGCAGCTGAGATTTATTTGAATTACATAATAGGAGCTCGAGTAATATCAGCTGCCCATATAAACTCCATATTTACATTTCTCTGCTTCAGCATCATTATTCTCCTCCTTTCTTCCTGTTTCATAAGAAGAATCTCTTTCTTTATTCAAAGTTGACCCCCATCTCAGCTTTTTATTATTTCCCCTTTGTACTCTCCTTAGGAAATTAATTTTCCCTTCTCTCTGTTCAATATTTAATGTTCCACTTTCCACTTAATCTTCCCCCTCTATGAACATATTCAAGATTCCCTTATCATCAAAAACAGTGGGGATAAAAAAAATAAATGTTTTATTCTTGTTCCAGGTGTTCATAAAAGGGATATTAATTTGCTAATAATTGTTCTATTAGGGGAATGAGGTATTCTAGAAGACTGGGAAACAGGCAGAAGAGGACCTTTCTGATTAAAAGAAAATCCTTGAATTTTCTATCTAATAGAGACTAATCAGAATTCATCTGTGAGACTCCCTGAATCTCTTGGAGGAGCCAGGCTACAAGTCAATGAGAAACAAGGATAAATGTGGCCGAGAGTGTTGGCCTTCTTCAAGTCCCATGGTAGCTGACTATACCCCAGTCCTCAGGATGAGCCAGCCTAGTCAAATGCAAGGGTTGGTCTTCAACCTTTGATGAAGGACTGATGCATCCCCAAGTGTAAACTCTGATGCTGCAATTCCTACTGCTAGTTTGGTGTATCATATAAGGTCCAGACCCTAGTGTCCAGGGTAGAGACAATATCTCACCACTTATGACCACTAAACGGGCAGGATACAGTTGAAGCCAAGTTTCTAACACATCATAGTAGGGAATCACACCAGGGAGGAATCAGTGCTTCTTTAATCATGCAGCTTAAGTTCACAGCTCAAAGTTTAGGGTCATCTGAATCTTACGATTGGCCCTGCTACAATGAATGAGCAACTGGGAACCTGTATGTGGGGGGTTTGTATGAGCATGAACATTTGTTCTAGAATTAAAGAATGTTAATCAGACCTTTGTTTAAATTGTTTTAATCTGGCTTCTTTCCTTTTTATTATTATTTTTTTAATCCTCACCCGGGGATATGCTTTTATTGACTTTTAGAGAGAGAGGAAAGGGGAGAGAGAGAGAGAGAGAGAGAGAGAGAGAGAGAGAGAGAGAGAGAGAGAGATCAATGAGAGAGTAAAACATCCATTAGTTGACGACTCTGGTACATTCCCAGGCATTGAACCTGTAACCTAGGTACTACGTACCCTGACTGGGAATCAAACACACAACCTTTTTTGTTATATGGGACGATGCTCCAACCAACTGAGCTACCCAGCCAGGGCTGGCTTCTTTCCTTCTTGGTGTGAGATCAGACATTACATTTAAGAGCTCTGAATAGACGGGAAATAAATAATTTCAAAAATTAGGGTTTTATTTGAAGTGACGTAGGGTAAACGTGGAAATGGGTGTCCCTGCCTTTAAATGCTTCTTCCCTGTCCATGCCTCCCACCTTATAAAACCTGCTAATCTACTTAGTTCAATAACTTTTTTATGGTTTCACCACCCACCTAATTCTTTAGACCTTCTTGCTTTTGTTTGCTTTTCTAAGATCTTATCTCAACTGCTTCTAGCCAGAATCTCAATTTCTGTCGGCCTAGCTTCCACAGAATGACAACATTTTTAGATCACATCTGTGTGGTTCCTTCTGCAGACTCACCTGCTATCACTGTCCTCCACATCGAGGACCCTGACTCAAATCCCACCACGGCCTCTATCCAGGGGTGTGCTGGTAAATGGTTAACAACAATCTAGGGCACAGGTGAGCTCTCATTTGTAGCACAGGCTGATTTCAGTGAGCAAACATTTCCATCGTGGTCAATTTCGGACGATCCATGTGAAGTCCCTGAAAGTGGAGGCATGAAGAGGTGTACAGCAATACACAGATATGACAGATTAGGTCACTCCAAGAGCATAGATGACAAGAAAGCAGGGAAACAATTAGGAATTGTCCAGTAGTTGTTACCTTTATCATGGCATACTTTACCTACTTGTAAGTTTATATCATTTAATTTAAAAAAAATGGCTGTGTTTAATAAGCAGCCTGAGGGTTTCTCAAAAATCTGACAGTCAGTCTCATGAGCTGGTACAGGCGGGCCCTAGGACCCCACTGCCTCCTTCCACCCTTTGTCCAGGAAGAGGCAAGCGAAGTAGCTGGTTCAAGGGCAGAATACGCCCAGAAAATGAATCATTATGGGTTCTCCCCAGATTGAAATTTTCTTGAAGATATGCCTGATAACATTCACCACACTCAACACACACACACACACACACACACACACACACACACACACACACACACAATTATACACTCACAAGAATCAGAGGCAGAAAGGGTCACATGTTTGCAGCCCTGGGTTGAAACTCCCAATTGACTCTCTGCAGTTGTTGTTCCCTGTCCACTGGACCACCAATGGTTGTGTGACTGTAGGAGAGCATGAAAATATGCTTTATGTGTCATTCCTAAGTCCCACTACAAACTGGGACTGAATGAGCTTGGTTGATATTTTGATGATATGAATGGAGTTTAGTCTGAATAGACTTGGTATACTTTCACATTTTTCTGCAAATGTATGTTAAAATCTATTTTTTTTCAAAATTATATTTAAATATATTTAAATGATTCTCTTAAAACTTCTAAAAATTTATTTCCAAGTACTTCTCTCTTTACCTGGGCACTGCCTTAAGAAATTAGGGAACTTATTTTTTTATTTTTTTTAAATATATTTTATTGATTTTTTTTTTACAGAGAGGAAGCAAGAGGGATAGAGAGTTAGAAACATTGATGAGAGAGAAACATCAGCTGCCTCCTGCACACCTCCTACTGGGGATGTGCCCGCAACCAAGGTACATGCCCTTGACCAGAATCAAACCTGGGACCTTTCAGTCCGCAGGTCGATGCTCTATCCACTGAGCCAAATGAGTTAGGGCTAGGGAACATTTTATTAAAAGAGTCTAGGGTTTCTAGAATGCTAACTCTAAACACATTAGTAAACACATATTTATCCTCCTTGCATAGACTTTCCCTGCAGCTTTTCTACATATTGTCTTTAGTTATCTTTGGGGTTTTCCAAATTGATTTACAGTCAGTACAATCATTAGAAAGCAGACTTCCCTTTAATTAAACATATTTTATTACAATAATTAGTGTGCCGTGCACTCATTAACTGGAATTATCTATCATTTTCTTCTAAGCATTGATATTTTTTTCACAGCCTTAAACTGTCTCAGGAACCCTCCCACACAGAGAACTTATCAACCTTCTCTGTTCAAATACATCCTCATTCAAACATTAATGAGCTCACTCTTTTTCTTTTTTTGAGTCACCAATATTATCCAAAGAAACAATTTCACCCATTCTTTTTCTTGTTTATATGACACTTTAGTTCAAAGATTTTAAAGAAACTGGTTTTTCAACTGTTGTCCCTAATAAATACCAAATGTATGCAGTTGAGAATGTATATATATATTTTGAATTTTACAATGGTGGCATTTTGATATCCACTAGTGAGTACAGTTGAAAAATTAATAACTATGAAATATTGGGGCTAAATTTTATGTATAAGGTGAGTATCAATGCCTATAATCAGTTACATAGTCCATATGCATATGTCATATATAATTCTATATAATGTATTTATATATAATATATACTAGATATGCATAATATATGGTATCTCTTCCTATGTGTACTGTTATGACAATTATATAATACTTCTCTCTTTATTCTCTTATGGTGATGTATTATGGTAGTTAAGCCAGCTATTTAAGCAAAATCCTGCCTTTAAATCACATTTGTCAGACGTGTGATTCTGGGCAAGCAACTTTACCTCTTTGTGTCAAAGTTTATTTTTCAGTGAATAGAAATAGTAATAGCACCTTCCTCCAAAAGTCAGAATGAGTCTTAGCATTTAATCAGGGAGTAGAAACCTGTGAGTGTCATGGGATGAAGAATGCACTCTAGGAATGCAACCTTACACAACCCTGGGAGAAATCTGGGGAAAGAAATATTTGCAAGGAGCAGAAAAAAGTTGTTAGCAAGCAGTCCTGACATGAGTGAAGAAGTAGGGTTTCTAGATTCTGGGTATTCCAGCTGCTGTAGAAGTCTACGGAAGGCTGTTTGTGGCTGCTGGCTCTGTGAATTCTCATTAAAAACCCTTGAGTTAGTTCTACGCAGATTACTAGATAAACTGCAGGATGCCACGTTCATTTGAACTTAAAATAAACAACAAATAATTTTTGGGTATAAGTATGTCCCAAATATTACATGGGAGATACTAGTACTTACACATTTTAGGGAATGGTGCTTATCTGAAATCTAAATTTAGCTCAATGTCACTGTATTTTTTTTATTTGCTGAATCTGGCAACCCTAGTCTGTGGTCACATTTGGTCAGCAGGCCCAGAAGTTGGGATGGAGAGCTGGTATGGAGCAGGGGAATTCAAGAATAGACTGGAACCCACCGGCACCTCTGTACCTGTCCCTCATCACCTCTAGACAGGGATGACCAGAGCATGTTAGCCACTTCACTTCCACCTCTCAGATCTCAACCAAATCTTTCCTGTGGCTAAACTTAACCTGGAACTACACAGGTAAGGGACTTTAGGAAATGGGGTTCCAGCTGAGGTACACCAACCAGTACAAACCCCCAATTTTGCAGTAAGTGGGATAGTACATGTGAAGTCTTAGAACAGCTCCTACATGTGATGCACATTCATACAATGGTCATGCTTTAATGTTGCTGTTATTTTGCTGTTTGTGTTGTTTTAGCAATTCTGCCAGATAGAACCTTGGGCTGAGTGGGTATTGGGATTTGATGGGGAGTTGTGAGTCAGTGGTAGGAAGTGTAGCATAGGATTGAAGGCAGAAAGAGTTTCTTTACTGGAACAAAAGACAACTTTGCCTTATGAGAATAAAAGAGAGATCTCTTGGGGCAGCAAACCGTTTCTCCCAGACAAGCAGCAAGGCCTGAAGTGAATGATGTGCTAACAATGATGTGCTAACACCATTCAAACCAGTCTTGTGTGGGTTGATACCTTTGGTCATGTTGTAGTGACTGTGTTGTAATGATTGCTGGCTACTTTAACATTGGTTTGTGCCTTTCATCTTTTCAATGCAGACAGAAGTGTTGAGAACGGGCTGTGAACAGGTTGTATGGCACTGTTTTAGATACATCACTCCAGGTATGGTATTCTTGAGCTGCTGTGGAAGAGACCTGATTTGGAGATCTATTTTTAGCTTTCGGAGGGGTGTCTTGCTACCTATGTCCCTGCAGGACCATATGGCATCTATTGCTCTTTCTCATGGTAGCAGCAGTCTAATGTTGCGTATGGGGAACTTCTTTCTGCCAGCAATGCAAATTTTAGTGTTCCTTGGCTTAGGAATGACCATGTGATCCAAGCTTGACCAATTAGATGTATGCTCCTTGGCATGGAGACCAAAACCAGCAACAACGAAAAGCAGGATTTGATTTACACTACCTGTGAACTATGCCTATTCCATTGTACATTTCTGCTTCTTAGATCCTTGCTACCAGCATGGGCCAGCAGCCTCAGTATTGCCTGGGAGCTTGTAAGAAATGCAGGGTCTCTGGCCTCAACTCAGCTCTACAGAATCAGAATCTGCATTTAACCAAGATCCCAAGATCTCTCATAAATGTTTGCCTGGTCCATATGTTTTATTTCTGACTTCTCAAGTGCATTAAGGTAGGCTCTTAAATATGCATCATGGAATGAGCGGTACCTTGGCTTCTGGTACAGAGATATTGGAATGTTCACCAAGTCAGTGTTTTCTGGCTCTCTTAGGGCTTTATATTTCCTTTAATAAGCCACAACTCCCCCATCTCAATCCATGTAGCTTGGGTGGGGATAATTCAGTTCTTGCCTCCAACAGCAAGAACATGGTAAGGCCATAGATGACTTTCATATTCCATTCACAATTCAAACCAGTCCTGTGAAAGTCAGTCCTGTGATTCCTGTTGGGGTGTTTGGGGAAGAGAACCTGTGGTTCCACTAGATAGTTAGTTCTAAGGATTTTGTGAACCTGGTCATTCCAGGGCCCATCTATGGAGCTAGCCAGTCTAAAAGCAAAGCCAAACAGAGAGGTAAACTGAGTCTGTAACGAGAAGAAAGACTGCATCATGCTCATTTCACTTGAACTGATCATGTTCAACTGGGCCCCGTTTTCAGTTACATGAATCAGTACATTTCCTTCTGTTTGAGTAGGTGGGTTGGACACACATGTAAGACAGGGCAAGGCCAAGGCCAAAGCCTAACTAACTTGACTGGTAAAGATACAGTACGTCCGTTTGAGATTCAGACACTTTATTACTTACACAGAGAGCAATTGGGGGAGTAAGAAAAAGGTGACAGCTCCCCAGGTCTGTGTCCCACGCACCAAAAAGGATGACACTAAAACAAAAGGAGCCAGATGAAGGGAATGCAAGACCCCCTGTTGCCGAGGAGCCCATTCTAGAGGGCAGCTAAGATGTTTTCTATTCTGCATCTCTATTCTGAGGAGGGTTGACTAAAAGCCCCATGTTCAACAGAAGTCCAGGAGGCGAGGAGGGGACATAGGAAGGTAAGTGGTAGATGGCCTGACAGTTGTTTCCTAGAGACCTTTCTTTTCTTGTGTTTCTGGTGAATCACAAGTTTTTATGCCAGGACTCAGAAAAGACTTTGCTAGTCCAGATATATGTGAGCTCTCCAGGCACATGATGGAGCAGTTTGCTCAAAAGTCCCGAGTGATACATCACTTTTAGTGAACATTTGTCTCTATATTTTTTAAAATATATTTTTATTGATTTTAGAGAGGAAGAAAGAGGGAGAGAGAGATACGGCAGAAACA